ATGAAACCAGAGTTATTTGCATATATCATAAACGTGCTATTAAGGGTTTTTTTTCTTGAGTTGTTTTTGTGTGTGTGGTTTCGGGGTTTTTTAGGAAAGTTAAGACATAAATGAAAATGACTGCAAGGAATACAATAGCAATGAAGCTGATAATGATGAACTGTAATAGCAGAATAAGCTACAAATAATAGCTGTAATTTTACTTAAGTGATGGTATTTTGCTGACCAAATCTTGGAAACGTTTGGAGCAGTGCACATAACAATGATTACCTTGAAATCAGTTCTGTTGCACAGACACTGTAATCCTCTTCTGAGGATTAATCTGAATCTGTAAACAAACTTCTCAGTGTTGCAAAATCACCTTTTATTTTGCTAGTTATTTTTGCTCATAAATCTGGGAGAGGACTGTGGCAGTTCGTCTTAGAATCATAGAATAGTCAAGGTTGGAAAAGACCCTTTAAGATCATTGAGTCCATCCGTCTTCTCCACCTTCTGTGGACTCCATGTACTGTGCAATCTTTCTTTCTTTATCTGCTTTTGAAAACATTGAGGAGAACACGCAATCTATTCCAGTACTTCATTATCCTTACTCCTTGGAAATTTTTCCCCAATTTCTAGCCTAAATATCTCTTGACACAATTTCAGACTGTTAGATCACGTCCAATATTCATGCAGCAATCTGCTATACTTTTTTATCATGATTTCATATGAATTATATAAGCATTCTTGAAGAAATCATTTTGTATACTGTGCCTGCTGGCAGAGTTTGAATTCAATAGTAAAAGCAATAGCAGAAGGTAAAATGCCAAACTTTTTGTTTGAGGATCCACTTCTAAAAACAGCCCTTTATATCATATGTTTAGCTGTAGTTCATAAAGACATAACTGACACTTATGCACTGTGCTCTCTTGAGTATTATATCTTTAAAGTTACCCTACCACAAGTCACTGAAACAAGTTGCACTGTATTTGCTTCTGAGAGGATCTGCAATTGTCTGCAACCTGATCATCATCCCAAGCTTATCTTTCCTTTTTCTTTTTCAGCATTTGTTATTGAGAAGTCTGCCTACCTAAATGTCTCTAAAATGATTTTTGATTCAAAATTCAAAATTAACTAAGAATAGGTGAAGAAAACATAGGCAACATAAATGCTCCATAATTACTGGGGAATGTTGGTTATGATGAACTACAAATATCTTAGAGTTTTATCTTAACTAATGTTTTTATCTTTACTAGAATTACCTTTATATACTTGTTTTAAAGGAACACTAATGTCTGCTGGTACCTTAACAACAGATTTTTTTTGGTCTTTAGTTGCCGACAAGGCTGCCTACCTGATGGGTCTGAACTCAGCTGACATGCTCAAGGCCCTCTGCTACCCCCGAGTCAAGGTTGGGAATGAGTATGTGACCAAGGGTCAAACTGTGCAGCAGGTAACAAAAATCCCTGTTTTGCTGACAAATCCTCTGGACTTCCTCTTTTGTTCTGAACAATAACTGCAAGCCATCTGTTTTTTATTTTAGGTATACAATTCAGTAGGTGCCTTGGCAAAGGCTGTGTTTGAGAAGATGTTCCTGTGGATGGTTTTTCGCATCAACCAACAGCTGGATACCAAGCAACCCAGACAGTACTTCATTGGTGTCCTGGACATTGCTGGCTTTGAGATCTTTGATGTAAGAACAGTGATTTAGTACCATGCTTTTCGAAGTAACTCTATTGTGTGCCAAAGTACTTAAGAAGTAATGATGCCTCTTCTTTTTGCAGAAATGGCTTGATCCTTTCAGATTGCATCAAAAGCATCATGATTCCCACAGGTTTTTAACTGGGAATAGATTTTTGTGTTGCACATATGCCAATGGAAATCTAGAAATGCAATTTTTTGACTGATTAAAACAGTAGACTAACATGGCATTTGGTAACTAATGCAGAGACGCCAGTTCCATAGACACAATTTGTGCTTAGAAGGCTTGGGACATGCTTTGAATTCAGCATTTGGAAAAGTTGGGTAAACCGTTGCACTGTGGACTCTCCCGTAACTGAATTAGCCCAGTCTACTAGAAATCAAAACTGACAAGTCTTAAATATTAAGGAGGCCTAGCCTTCTAGGGGTCATAAACATATGGATAACATTTATCTTGACAAAAGAGACACACTGACAGAAGTTCCAAACTCCTAGCTGATCAAAGAAGGAACACTCACAGATCCTCCTGTAATTTGGTACAAAAAGCCAGCACTGTTCTTTATCCCTAGCTTTCTAAATTTACATTAATAGTAATCTCTATTTGTAATTGTGCAGTTCAACAGCCTGGAGCAGCTGTGCATCAACTTCACCAATGAGAAACTGCAACAGTTTTTCAACCACCACATGTTCGTGCTGGAACAGGAGGAGTACAAGAAGGAAGGAATTGAATGGGAGTTCATTGACTTTGGGATGGACCTGGCTGCCTGCATTGAACTCATTGAGAAGGTATTTGTATAATTCACAATGTCTAATATTTTCAGAAATGCATTAATTTTTTATAAAGGTAGCTTGAAAGGGTAAATGCGATATTATAAGTATGCAAATTTAGATTATTTTACAGTTTGCTCTGCTGAAAAACAATCCCTGAGAGCATTAATATTGTTCCACTCAGGAAGCTAATTCTTTATCTGTGATTCTTTCTGTCTTTTCACCTTTTCCTCCTTCCTTCTGCTTCTTCCAGCCCATGGGCATCTTCTCCATCCTGGAAGAGGAGTGCATGTTCCCCAAGGCAACTGACACCTCTTTCAAGAACAAGCTCTATGACCAGCATCTGGGCAAGTCCAACAACTTCCAGAAGCCCAAGCCTGCCAAAGGCAAGGCTGAGGCCCACTTCTCCCTCGTGCACTATGCTGGTACAGTGGACTACAACATTTCTGGCTGGCTTGACAAGAACAAGGACCCCCTGAATGAAACTGTTGTGGGGCTGTACCAGAAATCATCAATGAAGACACTGGCGTTACTCTTTGCCTCTGCTGGAGGACAGGCAGGTCAGTTCTGTGAAATTCGTATTTTCATTTTTATTTAATGACTCTACCAGAGCCATGAATATCAGCTAGAGTGTTCTAAAGAAACTGCATGTTGTGCAGAGTGTCCCATGGCTTGAATCTATTAAGAAAGGAAAAGATCAAATGTATTTCAGGCCTTCCACTCAGCCATGATAATCTTTTGGATTATTACACACCTTTGGTCCTGTGTTCCTTTAGATTGAGTGTTGTCTCTGTTTCCCACCGCATCCGAGGTTCCTTTCTTAGCATGACTGATACATATGAACAAGCTTCTTGCAGTCTCATAGAGAAAAATTTTACAAATCAAAGTTGTGAAACCCTCTTTTTTTGGCTTTCTTCAGAGAGTGGTGGTGGTGGCAAGAAGGGAGGCAAAAAGAAGGGTTCTTCTTTCCAGACTGTATCAGCTCTTTTCAGGGTAAGTACGGAAGTCATTCTCTCTATATCTTCCTCTTTTTTTTCAGTTGAAGATTGTGAAACCTCACACTAACTCCAACAAGGCCATTTTACTGCACCTATTAACATTTTTCTGCATCAAGTACCTCTCTTCAGTTATTCATAAAAGAGCTGACTGCAATTCAGCTGAGGCCAGCTGAGGAAGGTACATCTTGATCTAGCCTTTCTTCAAACGTTGGAAAAAGTACTCAGGTCAGGCAGTTTCATTTACTCATGAGTACACTGGTTGGTAGGATCAAGCTCTTCCCCCTGTCTCTCTGCCTTCGGAGGACAATGGTGGATCTGGCTAGCTGCCTTGGAATCTCAAGCCTGGGTCAGCACATACGAATGTATGTTCATTTGCATATGATAATACATAACACGTAATACATAACACATAATTGTTTGCACATGATTACACATACGAAGACAAGGAAATCGAGAAATGTCAAGGCCAGTTACTTTTCCACCAATGGACAGAGCTTAAGGCAGATGGAAACACTCTTGTTTCAGCACCTGTGACATCTAGCTACTATCTGGCATCCTAAACAGTTTTTTACACTGTGAAAGAGGTATTTGTCTGAGCAGCTTTGCCACTGCTCCAAAACAGGGCTAAACTGAGAACTGTTAGGACCTAGCCAGTAAAAGTGATTGCTAAAATCAGAGATAGTACAGGGGTTTGCTTTTAAAAACACTTCTAGAAAGGGGTGCTGTAGGACCTGCCACTCATGCCTTTTCTCTACAACTTGTGACCCCCATTCTCACTGAGCATGGAATCTTTCTTGTCTTCCCCTGCAAACCTTTGTCAAATATATCTTCACAAGTAGCACCTAATGCTCTTTCCCAGCCTTCTCTGCAATCTTGATTCTTGCCCCTCTTCCCTTTTCTCGTATTTTTGGTTTTGTTTCTGTTCCCATCAATAGTCAGTGTCTTCCATAGAGTGAGAATATGGTGACTACAAAGAATCATCTTTCACACATATTATACCTTTTGCCAGGAACTTCTGGTCACCATTCTCCATAGGTGTCCTGTCTGAGTGGATGTATCCCTCAGTCTCTTAAAAACACATTACACACTTTTATGACTTTCTCTCATCCTCGAGACAGAAAGGCAGAAGAAACTCAAATTAGCATGGCTATATATAGGAATCATAAATCGATTATTGCTTTCCAACACTTTTCTCACATCTGACAGATAGTACCATTTGTTAATGAAAAATCTTTGCTCATGAACCCACAGGAGAACCTAAACAAGCTGATGGCCAATCTACGGAGCACTCACCCCCATTTTGTGCGCTGTATCATCCCTAATGAAACAAAAACACCTGGTAAGAACCTCAAGTAGAGACGTTCATCACTGTGATGCAGCCATTATTCTCTATGCTTTATCATGAAGTATCAAATAATTTTCTTATTTGCTTAGGTGCCATGGAGCATGAACTGGTGCTACACCAGCTGCGGTGTAATGGCGTGCTGGAAGGGATCAGAATTTGCAGGAAGGGATTCCCCAGCAGAATCCTCTATGCAGACTTCAAACAGAGGTCAGTCTCCTTTCTGCTCTCCATTCTGTCTTCTCTGCATAAGTTGCACATCATAACTATTTTAACATTTGTGTTTGTTTTTCTTTAATGCCAACTCTATCAGATTATAACTGAAAGAAGGGGGAAATGCTGGAATGCATAACCAAAAGCAACATCTATGGCTAGCAAAAGAGAAATTGTTGAGAAATGAAGAGATTAGTCAGGTGTCCTCACTGATTGCTGATTATCAAACAACTGAACTTTGCCAGTGTCTGAATATGGAAGCACAATAGAATCATAGAATCATAGAATCATTAAGGTTGGACACAAGCCAGTGATTACAAGATTAAAACATGCAGATAGGGATGTGGCTGCAATACGTTATCAGACAAAAATGACAAACTCAGATAATGGGCTTTTGCCATTGTATCAGCTGCAGGTTTCAGGGGAAGATGCTTTCCTCCTATACACATAGTGGCAACATTCCTCTCTAGCAACAGTTTAAGTGAAAAAGGTATCAAACTGAAATGGCTGGAGATGAGTGTCCTCTTTTCACCTATGACTGATCACCTAAAGATAGTACAAGTTTCCTTAATTTTGTTATCAGATTAGGACTTCATTACAAGTGTATCTCTAAAGAAGGGATGGAATTCCAGCTTCCTCAGCCTGGTTCTGCTGCAAAGACTGCTGTTAATTTCAATAAACCGTACCACCTTGTGACTTGAGATTGCCTTCGTTCGTATTTCCTCTCATTCCACAGATACAAGGTGCTTAATGCCAGTGCTATCCCAGAGGGACAGTTCATTGATAGCAAGAAGGCTTCTGAGAAGCTTCTGGGCTCAATCGATGTGGACCACACCCAGTACAAATTTGGCCACACCAAGGTACAAACCTTCCTTCACTCACTCGCTGCCTGTCTGTGCTTTGCTCTACCTGACAGTGATGTGTGGCAACATTCCCTTTCTCAAGGTGTTCTTCAAAGCTGGGCTGCTGGGACTCCTGGAGGAGATGAGGGATGAGAAGCTGGCACAGCTCATCACTCGCACACAGGCCAGGTGCAGGGGCTTCCTGATGAGAGTGGAGTACCAGAGAATGGTGGAGAGGAGGTAGACATTCCTCATCTTCAGTTAAAGTCACTGTACTTGGGGGAAAGTGTTGGCACGCATCATGCTGAAAATATTCAATGCACGTTTTAATTGTGCTTCAGGGAGTCCATCTTCTGCATCCAGTACAATGTTCGGTCCTTCATGAATGTCAAGCACTGGCCCTGGATGAAGCTGTTCTTCAAGATCAAGCCCTTGCTGAAGAGTGCAGAATCTGAGAAGGAGATGGCCAACATGAAGGAGGAGTTTGAGAAAACCAAGGAAGAGCTTGCAAAGTCTGAGGCAAAGAGGAAGGAGCTGGAGGAGAAAATGGTTTCATTGCTGCAGGAGAAAAATGATTTGCAGCTCCAAGTGCAGGCTGTGAGTACCGCTGTTTATTTCCCACTCAGAAAAGCAGTCTACATTCCAACTGCTCTTTTGCAAGCAGAAGGTCAGAGTCTAGATGACCAGCTGCCAGATATTTCTTGAATTATGCATCATATTGACTGTGAAGCTGAAGAAACTAGCGTCTCACAGTAGCATGGCGAGCCCTCTGAGAGCCCGTGCAAAGAGGCAGGGAGCTCCAGGTGGGAGTCAGTGCTCTTGCTTTCTGAGGAAGAAGCCGTCTGTGGCTAGCCAAGATGAAATACTCAGCACAGGGTTGTACCTGAACCCCCAGCTCTGTCTGAGCAGGTGAGTCCTGCAGGCAGTAGCCCTCTCTGGCCAGGATTAATTCATTTGGGACAGTAAATGCAACCTAGAATTCAAATTGATGCTTGCCAATTCAGCCACTTAATAACTAACGGGTAATTGTTCATTCAGGAAGTGGGAAATAGGGCTTGAAATTTCTCCTCAGTCTAAAAAGAGATTAATCCAGAGCTCCTGCTTCTGAACAGAAGTCTCCTCTTCCAGGGGTGTTTTACGGTGGTGTTTTACTGTGGTCAAGAGTGCTCAGTATTCCCTGGGCAGATGAAAGGCACAGGTAGATACACCCTGACACAGGCAGATGTCGAACCTCCCTAGTGAAATGGCTGAGTCCTGCCCATCCTGCTTCAATCCATAACCCTTAAATGCAAAAGTGTGTACCAAATTTGGAGAGCATATGTATGTATAATAATATTAAAGCACCATCTCTGGGTAGGCACTTCACACCTCTGTATTATTTAGACGTAATTTAGTACAACAATTTAGAATAACAAAGCAGATGAGTATCAAGCAAAACCTTGCATCTCTGAGTACTGTAGTGCTTTGCATCTGCAACCTGGATTTTCATCATATGCCATGTGGTAGATTTGTTATTAGCAATATCCCATGAACCTTGTAGGCACGCCAAATTTAGAAAAATAAATTATTAATTAAAAATATACTCCAACAGTATTTGATATCCACAGCCCATCTTACAAAGCAATTCTAAATTACTCATTAAATTATTGAAAGCACTGAAATTACCAAATACGTTATTCACGTTTCCCCTAGTTCTATAGTGATTTGAGTCTTCAGTTAGAAAATGGGAAAGCTAGGGTTTTTTTCCTCAGTGTACAACAGAAAAATAGATATAGATTTTGATCTTCTTACCCATACAAGGATCTGCCAATTAAACTCACTTAGGACAAAGCCATTCAAATGAAATACCAAAGACCGAAGGAATAGAAAGCCAGCTGAAAGCAGCATTGAAAACTCCAGACAAACAGGCTGGAAATATGACAAGTATGCACGTTTTTTAACAGGCAATACCTCTATAGTATGTGCATTCATTTTAATGAATGTAGAAGACTGATATTCTTTTTTATTGAAGGAAAAAGCCTGCAAGTCCATTCCATTGAAAAATTAGTAACGGATATGGTCACTTTTTGGTGATGCCTGTAAGTGCATGAGGCATTCTCACGGCTGCAAATTCGGAGAGATATTTTTGAAAGAGCCAAAAAAAAATTGAAGTTGTTGCAAACTGAGAACTTCCATAACTATTTCCCAGACAGAAAAACTGACAACATTGTCCAGCTGTGTGAGTGGAAGGGCTATTTCAGACATGGCTCTTACATATGTCAATCTAGTAAGAGAAAAGATAAAGAAGAGAAGCTTCCAAATACTATAAACAAAGAAAATCTGTGTCGCCCCACCAGGAAGCGGACAGCTTGGCTGATGCTGAGGAAAGATGTGACCAGCTCATCAAAACCAAAATCCAGCTGGAAGCCAAAATTAAGGAGGTGACCGAAAGGGCTGAGGATGAGGAGGAAATTAATGCTGAGCTGACAGCCAAGAAGAGGAAACTGGAGGACGAATGTTCAGAGCTGAAGAAAGATATACCTTGAGTTAACGCTGGCCAAGGT